AAGTAAGTCCACCAAAAAAATTGATAAAATAAACATAACCTATATTACCCCTGAATTCCCTGACAGATGAATTCAGATTTTCTTCTTCTCATTTTATTTTTCTCAAAATGTTTCGCTACAATGGACATCCCGACAAATAAACTTATGGATGTCCAATATGTACTGCCAAGTATCTGATATGGACATCCAAGTGGCTATTCGATGTGCGTCCATGGACATAAATAGGCTTTCAGATGGAGTACACACTAGATCATCACCTGGATATACAACGATATGTACATTGAAAGATACTTCCATTGGACTTCAAATGGATATAAAATGGATGTCCTCTGGATAACGTGTGTTATTAGTTATTAGTTATTTTAGGTTAGGGACATGCGGACTTGAATTGTACTAGAAAGGGACGTCCCTAGGACGTTGCGTACTGTCGATTAGATATATAGGAACTTGAATGTGAACAAACATTCAAAGTACTTTCCATTATAGTTATTTGAGTATCAGCGAAATGACGTATCGCTTCTTTCGAATCGCATATACATGGTATTTCATCAAAGAAATGCCTCAGACTCTCTAGATTTTTTCGCTGCGCTCATATGCGGCGAAAATGTCTAGTAATGAAACTTGTTGTCTCTTCAACAGTCGTTTTTGAATAATATTTCCAGCTATCATAAAACTCAATCAATCGATCTCCGACGCACTATTGACCCACCATATTTGAATTATTAAATCATTGACAATAATTAAACGTAGCATATTCCACAATTTAATTCATTTATGATATGAACAATACACTGTATATTATAATATCGATATAACAAACATGAGATGGCATGATGTAGATATCCACCTTATTGGTGAAGGATGCAGATATTGTTTGTCCTTTACAATGTTGGCTTGTTTTCTAGCAGTTCATATGAGCAAAACGGAAACCCTGAATCGTCTGAGGACTCTAAGGGAGAAATGAACGTCATTATTGTTGTAATTCAATGATTATTTATCAATTAAATCGTTACCTATAGTGATATCAGTGGTTGGTGATCGCCAAAAAGCAACAGTCAAAATGAGCAACTGTGAGAGCATCCTCAAGTACACAAGGTACGCCCTGCTAATAGCTGGAGCATTCGATATACAGAACGGAACAAAAAACTCATCCTTTCTATACAAGATCTGGTCTTTCTTTTCGCTAGGCTACTACTTTCTGTTCGTCATGTCATTCCTTGTGGGCATGATAGATTTACTGATGGATGACGTAGATGTAGTAACATTCAACGTCAATATGCAAACTTTCCTGTCCAGCTTCCTCTTACTAATGAAAATTGTGTTATTCTGCACCAAAGGAATCCGGGATATAATGAAAGAAGTGTACCAGTATGAGTACGACATCACCCACGATGACTTGGAGTGTACGCGAATGTACAACAGAAATTCCCGTTACAACTACAAGATATTCTTTTTATATGCCTTTCTGATGTCCTGTACTGGCTGCTCATTCATGGTCGCCACTTTCAACGGGTGGAAGCTGATGAATGTGGAGAATTCAACGGAAAACAAGACGCTCATCTACCATGCTTGGTTCCCTTTCGATATTGGAAATCCAACTTATTTCAACGTTGCGTACTTCTTTCAATTCCTGGTGGGCATTTGGTTACCCTTGTTTGTAGTAATGATTGATTCCCTGTTTATTTCGATGGTCATCTTCGCTACTGCAAGAGTTGAAATCTTGGGATACAAGTTTGAACATTTTGAGATGTACAGTAATGGAAGGAATGAATCAACATTCCATGGTTTACGAAATATTGTTATCGAACATCAAAATCTAATAAGGTAAGTAAATATGATCGATATTTGACTACAGTGTGTACTATTTAGAACAGCACTACACGGAGAAAATAATCACTAACCCTAGGTGAACATTCTGGAACACCGTAGAAAAGTTGGCGATCTGACTCTATTTTATAGACATTTCCATGGACGATGCTCTTCTGAGATATCAACAATGGGCGTGTACATCTTAGTAGAACTTTTCACTGAAACCATGTTCCTAATGATCCTGCTATACATAAATAATGATTGACGACATAATTCGATAAAAAAAGTGACTGGAATGTTTCATTTTTGGACATAAATAATAGTACCTTCTGAAAACGGACCCTCTTATGACATACAAACTTCATCTCGCCATAGTTAACAGAAAATACCAAACGCCCGACGAAGACTGAGGCAACTGATATATTAATTCTGTAATCTCGCGCCAATTCACTCTGTCAGAAATCACGTATCATTCATCTCTGTCTGGAATAGTCTTGTTTCAGTATTAGGGTTTTGACGTCACATCATCGCCTCGTTTTCATAGGTCTGAAAAATCGGAGATTTCAATAATTTTTTATAAAACGTAGGGGATCACAGCAAGAAACGGTTTGCGGTGGTGAGCAAGTTTGGGTGAGTTCCATCGAATGATGAATTAAAATTTTTTTGTGATATACGCCCATTGTACAGTCGTATTCAATATAAAAGCGTACAAGTTTCAAAAAGAAAGGATTTCGGGATCCTAGTTCTAGTTGTGTAAAACTGGCTCAGCCAATTCTTCGTGTTTTCGAGAACCTATGACAACTTTACTGTCAACATTTGGTAAACAATCATTCCCGATAGCCAGTTTTATGCAGAAAAGGATGACGTTAATTTCTCTCTGTAATACTTACCTGCGAGATTAAACAGTCGAGCTGTGGCTTCGCACCTTTCGATGCTTGGCATTCCTATCAGCAATAACCTTCCTTGGGAAGATTACGTGAGATCCGTGGCCGAGTTTGTCTATGCGCTGAAATTCGCTAGATAGCCATTCACGATGCAGAGGTACTGTCGGTTCGAATCCGGCCGTCGGCTGAGCATTCTTCTTCAAAATGTGTGATTCATGGTTGTAATCCTGGCAGCACCTCGATGCCCTAGAAGTGGTTCGGATTCCACTATAAGCTGTAGGTCCCGCTCTTCCTAACCCCGCACAAGTTTCGACTTCTGGGGAGTTGGTTCCCAACTTTGAAGTAGCGATATACAAATTTTACAAATTTTACAAATTTTACAAATTTTACAAATTTTACAAATTTTACAAATTTTACAAATTTTACAAATTTTACAAATTTTACAAATTTTACAAATTTTACAAATTTTACAAATTTTACAAATTTTACAAATTTTACAAATTTTACAAATTTTACAAATTTTACAAATTTTACAAATTTTACAAATTTTACAAATTTTACAAATTTCACAAATTTTACAAATTTTACAAATTTTACAAATTCTACAAATTTTACAAATTTTACAAATTTTACAAATTTTACAAATTTTACAAATTTTACAAATTCTACAAATTTTACAAATTTTACAAATTTTACAAATTTTACAAATTTTACAAATTTTACAAAATTGCTTACAGTGCATACGAAAAACTTGGTTTTCTGTTTCTGTTGGATTCTGTCCAAAAAAGGGCAATTCGTCTCGTGGGTCATACCTTGCTCACAAATTAACTCACTTTTCTGGAACATCGTGGAAAAGTTGGCAATCTTCAACGATGCTCTTCTGAATTATCAACAACGGTTCCTTCCTTGGCAAACCCCGCGAGATTAATCCGTCGAGTTGAGGCTTCGTACCCCTTCGTGGTCACTTTGGAGACCTACAGAACATCTCTTTCCAAAGACTCGTTCATCCAACGAACAGTGTAGCTCTGAAACACATTACCAAGGAAGTTGTTCCGCGAGGCATATAACCTCCAGAAATTTAAGAAGAACACGAATTCCTACTTATTTCCTTTGGTTCTCACGATGTTCTCTGAACAATACAGGATATCTGTTCTCGTGGGAACCAGAATATAAAAAAATTAAGTCCTCTATACTATAATTTCGAAGTTAGCCAAACTGTGTTATCTCCGAACAAAAGAGTTAATGTTGTTGAAGAAACTCAACATGTGTTGATAAAATTCAGTTTTTTCGAGCAAAAGAGTATTATGAAGTTGATATTGTCATAGAAAATAGTTTTCAGTGCCTGTATTATGTGGAATGAATCCAAGTCAGGATGTGGGGCAAATCAAATGGCTTCTGACATTCTCAAATGGGCAGAGACTTTAAGTGAGAGCATAAAAGAGATTAATATCTGGTCAGATAACTGAGGAAAAGTAAAGATTTTTGTATGTCAAATGTGGTTGTCCTACAAGCACGCAGTGAAAATATATGTGTATTTTTGTATTTCAAATCACATTTTGAGGCATATAAGTTTGAATGTGTCGATCTTGAAAGAAATGGCAGGCGTGTTGTTTTTCTGAGCTTTTATCTCAGATTCGTGAGCAAACAAATGCAATATTCAATCAAGATCAAGAATTATTACCACCTACAATCTTTACTACCCTGGAATCCAAGAATTTTTCACCGTTTCTATAAAAACTTTGTTCATTCTGATGAGACAACGGACGATATTTAATAATCAACAGTATTCAGCTTCAGTCTCCTGTCATTTGTTTGACCTAGCAATCGTTAAGAATTGAAAATAAATAATTTCAGAATAAATTCACAGTATTTCATTACCCATATCAACTCCATTTTCATTTAAAAAAAGTATTCAATACTTACAGTTTTTCGTCGAAGTATTAGGGTCGAATGGTATTAACTCCATCACATTGACTTTTTTATATATTTTTTGGCAGAATTGATGGAAATATTTGAAAATTTGAGAAAGGAAAATTGGAGAATACCCACATTTTATTATTGAGTTTATTTGTTCCTTTGATAGTTATGGAATACATATTTTGTGTCAACTTTATGTCTATGAAAACTTTCAAATTGCTCTGCTATTAAATTTGATTTTTGTGAGTTAATACAGTTTGGCTCTCAGGTACAGAGTTGCAACTGTGAATGTTCGTGAAAAAAAGTTTCTCTAGGATGGCATTTCAGACGCGTCGTATGTAAGAATTATTAAAATTGTTAATTCGCATTCGGAGGTGGCATTGAAGTATGAGTGGAGATCTATACAGATGAATGCTTGAAACAGTACGCGTGAAACATTTTAAGATATTGCTATAAAACCATTCGTTTTCACATAAAGTTCCTTTAAATTCCAGATGCGTAGAAGATATCAAACAATCCTTGAAATGGTACTTATTTGCAGAACTCTTGGTGAAATCTTATCACATAACAGTTTCGCTTCTGAACGTAAGTTGAGCATTTGCAAAAATTTTCAAGTCTGATGAATTTTTTTTGGTCAAATTACAGGTGATACACGCAACCAATAAGGGAGATATTGTTTTCTACCTTTCCTGTGTCATGGTGCTACTACTTCAAGTTATGATGGTTTACTATAATGCTAACGAGTTATCATTACAAGTAAGTATAACCGAAACATGCAACTGCCTTATCACTGATACATTCCAAAAGTTCCATGTTTTATCACAGAGATGTTTCTGTTAGAGATTTAGCATCCCACTGACCAGAGTAATATCTCTAAAATATTGCAATAGTATTTCAATATAATGTGTAATTGTTATTGCAAAGTAATTGTATTATTGTGTATGAAGTACAGTTACATTTCATATTCAATGAATCTTATTGTCATATTCTATAAAGGTTACTGGCAACATGAAATAAAAAGTAAAGGAAAATTATAAATTTTATGTTATAAATCGTACGAAGCAGCAATTTTCAAATAATCGAATAATCGTATCGACTATTTCATAATTTATAAGTCAATTGGGAAAATTTCGAAATGTTTTCGATGCAAAGGTGCTACGGATTATATAGGCATTGCACTGCATAAGAATCTGGAACAAACGGAATAATAATCGAATAAAATAATTAGGAACACCGTAGAAAGGTCGGCGACCTTTCACTCTTCTTCCGCTACTTCCACGGGAAATGTTCTTCGGAAATCTCTGCTATCATCCCTTCACTAGCAATACCAGTCAGACGAACTAGACAAGCCTAGTCAGCACATCCTTTCGTTGTCAACCTCGAGAGTTGTCGAACAGCACTTTATCAAAACTCCTTCATCCATAGAACGGCTAGGCTCTGGAATTCATTGCTTGAGAAAGTATTCCCAACAACATATAAACTCCAGAAGTTCAAAAAAATGCCAATACCTACCTCCTATCCCAATCCTCCCTAGGAACGCACGATGTTCTTTGAACATTATAGGGATTCCCTTTCGTGCGCTCCTTGTGATAAAAAATAATCTACCTGTTAGTTCATTTATCAGTCAATTATGAAAAAAAATAATCTTCCTGTTATTTCATTCATCAGTTAATTAGTTAGTTCATTAGGGCGTTCAGAAAATGATCCTATGAAAACATGTTTGTAATTACTTTGATGTCTGTGACACAGGTCGATTAATGTAAATTATGTTTTGCATGTCGTTGAATATCAAGGAATATTTGAGGAATTCATTTGTTTGAGGAAAGCATGCATTTATGAGATGAAATTTAATACAATCGGAATGTGCCAGTGATGAAGCTGCTGCATGATTCGGTCACTGACATAAATTACTATCACTAGCTAGATTGCAAATGCCATCCAAGCGAGCACAAAAACATCTCAGAGATATTGAAAGTACGAGATTTCGAGACATTGAACCTCCACTGCGATGTTCTATTCACACATGAATAGAACTATTATAGAACAGGCAATGTCCGTCGCAGGCGGCAATTATCGAGATGTCCTTGATATGTCACAAAATAACCATCTTCCTAGTTATTTTTAAAGCCTTTTCATGGACACAACAGAACATTTTCAACGCGTCTTGCGCACATTAAATCGCTGTAAAAAAAAACATTTTCGAGGTACTTTTCTGAAGCCTTTTGTCAAAACGAACTTTTGCATTAGGATTCCATTTTCCTTGAACGAAAGAATGCATTGAGAATAGATTGAACATAAAAATATTTTCTTGATATGAAATTTCCTTCTCAATCGGTTTCTGAGTAGTGCTTACTACACACAGACATATAATTGGAAATAGGTTTCTTAATTTCTGAAATGTTCTCCACAATGCATAATTCTGCAACTGCGGAGAAGCTGTGTATTGATGAATTCGTACTTTCATATATTGATTACACTGAGGCACCGAACAAACACATCTTGCATCTGATGGTCATTATTACAAACTAAATAAGTCTTCTAACACGATAAACTATACCAAATTCCATTCTGTTCGATAGCAGCGTGATGTAAGCGTGACACGCTGCAAACGCGAATGCCAATCGCGAACAAGAAGAACAAAATCGAAAACAAATCAGAATTCATCGTATTGTGACGTGAGCATGAGACGTTGTGGTGGGGCAAACAAAGAAAAGGGCACAAAAGAACAGAAACAATACTTTCGATATCCTTCTAAGACCTCTTTGGGATGTGCATATTACGCCTCAAAAAAACATCCTCATGCCTACATCCCAAAACATCCAAGGGATACCTCTCAGTAGGCAAACAAAGAAATGCCACAGAAGAACAAAAACAATACTTCAATATCCTTCAAAGACCTCCTTGGTCAGTGCATATTACGTCTCAGAATAACATCTTCATGCCAACATTTTCAAAACATCCCAAAACATACCAGGGATGTTTGTGCTCGCTGGGATGAGATCAAGCTTATTCATTCATGAGATTGAACTTAGGTGCATTCAGGATCTGTCATATGTCTAGCTCACTCTACTAGAGTCTCGAGATCATACCCGTGTGTTCACCGAACACGCCCGATCGTTACCTAAGCGGCGGGGAGACCGAGACGTAAGCAGGCAGCTATGATACAATATACTTTTGCAGTACGGGGTGGGCCACCAACAGTTTTCTTGACAACATTTCAAAAAAATTTTTTTCCTAATAAATAAGAAACATTTGATAGGCATCAAGTGATCTACTGCGACCTATCAGATAATGAAAGTGATGATTTGATTTGCAATAATTCGCTATGTCACGACGAGTCCTACATGTAAATAGCGAACCACTCATCGAAAATCATGAAACCATATGTACATATTATATGCTTATGTTTTGTTGGCGAGGACGCTCGTTTTATTCAAATTATTTTCGATAATGTTCATCTGCTTCACAAGAAATTATTATCAGTAGTTAGTAGTAGTAGCAGCTTTGTTATTCAAAATGGAACATCTTATATTTTATTACATTTTCCGATTCTTCTAATTGAGCTATGATTTCGTTGATCAAGCTCAAGGTATACCTATACGTAGAATGTGAAAAATCGAGATTTTTTTTGTATCGAAACTATACAATACCTATATTGATTTGTCAAAATGGCTTACATGTGTCCCAATCCTAACATTCTATTTACTATCTACTGATGCCATTTAATTGAAACAAATACAGGGTTGATCAGATTTCAGAATTATATAAAAGAAGTACTAGAGTATGCCTACTAAAAATATATATATATATATATATTTGAAATATACAAAACAAATATATCACATGAAAAAACACACTCTAATATTCAACATAAAATAAAATTCAATCCCACTCTGGATGTATTTGAAAATATAAACAGTTGCATGTCACTTCTAATGAAATCAACCCGTATATCTAACGTAACTGTTCAATTTTAAGGAGCGATAGATATATATATTTCTGGAAAATGATATTAGGATGCAAGATAGGTTGAAAATCACTTCGGATTCGAAATCAGGACGTAACCCTGTACCTCGAAAACGAGCAAGTTTAGGACACATGTTTATATGACCTTTATTCATCATATTATATCACAAGGAATCATCCCTTGGATTATTTCGGTGTTATTTAGATACACCCTGTATAGATCATTCTTCATCTCAATATAGTTATTCAACATTCTTCCCATAGCGAAGTTCAGCAAATACCGATGGCGAGAGCACTATGTTTATTGATTTCATGTCTACCTATAATATATGTAAAACAAGAAGGCACAACTACTAGTGTTCCGTTTCGAAGTACCGCTTAGGCAACGATCGGGCGTGTTCGGTGAACACACGGGTATGATCTCGAGACTCTAGTGCTCACTCTCACTTATGTTCCCGAATACCAAGAGACGCGACTCGATGCCATGAACGACAGTTGGGAGGTCCTGCGCATAGGTCGGAGCGTTTTCGGAAACTTACTCGGGTTTATCGGATCCCCAACCTGAACGTTCGGTTACCAAAGCCGAGACACCTACCACTGTTCGGAAAATTGAGTGTTGCCTTCTCGATCACTGACTTGTGTTGATTTTTCGCGAAACTATTCAAAATCGTCAGAGTCACAGAGGACACTGCAAGCGCATTATCGAATTATACGAAATTTATGTCAATCGAAAAACGCAGGAGTCTACCACTTCACGACAACCCTAATAGCACACAACGTCCTAGGGACGTCCCTATCTGGAACAATTCACGTCCGAATGTCCCGAACCAAAAATGAGTGTCATTGGGACGTCCCATCCCGTACATCTCATGCAATGTCCGAGCAAGGACGTCCACGGGATGTCCCAGCTGGTACATCATTCCAAATGTCCTAGAAATAGTATCCCTTAGACGTCCCACGTGGTACAACTTGTAGAATGTCCATGCAAGGACGTCCTTGACATGTTCTTGATGGGATATGATTTTAAACCTTCTTTAGGGACATCCATCGGATGACCCGAGTAGTACATATTCTGACATGACTTCAGATCTTATATAATGTCCCTTCTAGACAATCATGAAATGTCCCTGTTGGTACATTCATTCAAATATCTCTGCACAGACGCCCTTAATATTTCCAGGATCGTATAACAATCGAAATGTCCCTTAGAGACATCCCTCGAATGTCCCATAAGGATATCCGTTGGATGTCCCAATTGGTACATGAACTGTACTCTTCCAATGTCCTAGAAATAACGTCCAATGGACGTCCCAGTCGATACTTTCAATATGTTGTCCCTGTAAGGACGTTAACTTACACCTCGCCGACGAATGATTGCTCGTAGGCCATAAGTACTCCTCGTCAATGTTCTTCACGTAAGTCCATTGGACATCCTTGGGAAACTTTTTGAGGACCTTCTACGGACCATCAACTCAATTGGATGTCCTAATCAGTTATGCAAGATCTGGTCCTAAAGGGACCCAGAAGAATCTGAATTCAAGAATAATTCGTACGTCCCCAGGACGTCCTATGGACATCCAATTTATATCCCTCAGCGTTGCTGATAGGTTGTCCTATGAATGTCCTAAGGATGTCCTCTGTAGTGGTTGATGAGGAATACTGTTGGATTTAGGTATTCGATAGTTGTCCCAGGGACATCCCTCAAGGACGTCCCTAGTTGGTCCTCAAGTGGGACACTTGTGCGTCCGACAGACGTCCAATGGACGTCTACGGTACCAAATTCGAATGTC